CCAGGTCAAAAGAGAGCAAGAGCTTTTTTAAGAAAATGATGGTGCCTAAGAAACTACACCAAAGGTTGTTGCCTGGCCCTCCCAGGCACAGTGCTCACAAACACACCTGCATATACACACAGGTATAGAGGGATAGCAGCTTTAAAAACTGAAACAGGCATGCTAATACTGAGGATGAAATTCATAACTCACTGTGACACTAGAGGGGATTGCTTACATGTACATTTGCTTTACACTTTCTAATGCTCAGTTATGTTTTAGCCATAAAATCATAGAATTAAGCTACTGATTTTTTTCAGTCAATTAAACTGGAAAATAAAAATGGAGAATGGTTAAACACACTTAAGCTCATATCAGACGGTTATCAACTTAGTTTTGGTCTAGGCACAGACACGGCCAATACCAAATATACAACTGAGAAACAGAAATGTCATTCTTGCACATTTTAATGGAGTAGCTAGGTAGGGTACTTTATTATATTCACTAGGCCAGTTTCGTTATTTTCTTTTAATTTAACTTGTCTCATACGAAAATGATGACAGAATCTTCTTTTAAAGATTCTTGGAAGAACTAACACATGTTAAAGCCCTCATACAGGACCTGGCACCTAAAGAGAGGCACTGCATTCCTGGAATGGGGACAGTGATCCCAATCTGTGCACTTCCAGGCACTGGGCCAAGAGCTCATGTTTCTGCTCTGTTTGTTAGCTGCTGGATGTTGCCCTCGCCTCAATGCTAGCCCTTCTGAAACCAAGTATGCCACCCTAATTCCTCTAATTCTTTGATAGTTTAGAAAACAGGCACTTTCATTAAATTAGCATCCTATAAGTAGCGTTTCAACATAGACAATGGCTAACTAAAGGGCAAGTAGACAACTCATATTTTTTTTAAATTAAACATTCTAACACAATACCAAAGATATGATAATTTTATATTTACATGCTTAGAAATGATAGTACAGTTATAATCTTAGCTTAATAACTAAATCTCTGTTTCTATAAGAGCAGCAAACAGCAATTCTTAACATACAGGTCTTGAACCTTGGTGGTGTCTCAGCTAGGGTTCACTCAAGCTGTCATGGCGAGATGGCATTTTCAGTATTAAGGAAAATGGATTTTGACAGGAAATCAGAGCCAGAATTTCTAAGTACTTATGAAATGTTTATACCTGTCATCCCCACTACGCAGTCATTATGACAGGCTCAACACTGATTATGTAACAAATGTACAATCAACTCACAAAAATGCTAAAGATATAAACTTTGCAGCATCAGCTCTTCAGCACAGATTTAATCCCACATATCAAATTAAGCACAACTCGTCATACATTGGTAAATTTGCTCTCACGTTTAAATTATATTTACACAAAAAAATTGTTTAAAATGAAATTATTAGCAAATGTTTGACTTATATCCTAATTTTCTAATTTATGGATAGAAAACATAACTAGGAAACAATTGGAGAATCTGTTTCAGAGCACATAGACCAAATCGCAGAACAAGAACTAAAGAGCTGGCTCTATTCCAAATAAACTATTTTACTGAGGATTTTATTTTTTAACTTAATCTGAAATACAGATTACTTTTGAGACAAGCTCTTGCTTTGTTACCGAGGTTGGCCTAGGAGTCAATGTTCTCCTGCCTCAGCCTCCTGAGTGCTAGGTTATAGACAGAAATGTACCAGCCTGCATTGGTGGTTCTTTTTACTCATATTTTTTTTTAGCTCTTCACGTTAGGTGTTCTCCATTGCTGGGGAACTCATTTTGTGACAAATATGTCAACAAAACTGTAGCCTATTTAAATAAAATGTCAAAACAAGAGTTTTCTATTCCTATGATAGACATAAAACCCAAAAGGAAAACAAAACAAAACTGTCCTACAGCTCTAAGACAGGTGGAAAAGTGAAGACTGTGAGAGAACTCTAAGTACCTGAGAGCCTCAAGCAGCGAACACTCTGTTGGCCTCCTGCATATAAACAGAGCAGTGGTCCTCAGCCCTCCTAATGCGACCCTTTAACACAGTTCCTCATGCTGTGGTGACTCCCAACCATGCAATTATTTTCACTGCTACTTCAAAATTGTAATATTGCCACTGTCACGAATCATAATGTAAACATCTGACATGCTGGATAGCTGATATGCTACCCCTGTGAAAGGGTCCTTCAACTCCCAAAGGGGTCATGACCCACAAGTTGACAACTGCTGGCTTACAGCTTGCTAACGATGCTTGCTTGCAGCAAAGAATAATGAAAAAAAACTTACAGTGAATTAAATCAGAACACCCCGATACATTTCTTTTTTTAAGTTACGGTTTTCCAAGGCTGATGTGGGAAGATCTCACTGAAAAGCCCAGACCCCAACACAATAGTCTCCTATTCCAGATGTCCCAGACACTTTGAACTGAAGTAAACTATTTCTGTTTCTAAGTCAGCTTCTTTTACTTCCAACTTAAATTGTTGCTTCATCCTAAGTGAAAAAAACCTGAAATTTGTTTTTAGATTCTACCTCAATAACTCTGAACAATCTGCAGCCAAAGCCTTGTCAATCTTCTCTTAACATTACATTTTCTAAGTGTCCTTTCATTCTGTAGGGTATGACCGTAGGGCGTACTGCATTCTTACTGCTTTGATTCCTCTCGATTTCTTCCAATACCCACCCTTTTAAGCTTTCTTCCTGTTTACATTCTTGTCTCTTCCTGTCCAGCCCAGATGTGGCCGAACAGTGATTTATGAAGCAGTTCATCTCCATCCATCTGCTTGTTTCCCATTATGGTAAATCCCAACTCCTTCCTGCGACACGTCCGCACTGAGCACACCATCTAAGGTTAAGATGCTGCTGTTCTTCCTAATGAACAGCAGATGAACTGACTGACTTCGTAAGACTTGAGGCTCACTCTGCTCTTTAGAAGAGCCAACAATCATGACTGGAGTTTTAAATGCGATTTGCTTTTACCAATACTTCTGTGGTTGTTCTTATGATACAGTATGAATTTTTCTTTGGATAGCAATGTAATATGACTATATATATATATATATATATATATATATGAGTTTAGAAGGGTACAATGTTGCAAGTCTATAATCCCAGCACTCAGGGAGGAAGAGGAAGGCGGAACTCTATGAGTTTGAGGCCAGCCTGCTCTACAAAGTAAGTCCAGGACAGCTAAGGCTACACAGAGAAAGCCTGTCTTGAAGCCACCACCACCCAAGATAAAAGTTAACAGATTTCCTACATACTTTATATACATAAAAACTGGCATTTACTTAGAAGTCATATAGCCACACCGGTATAGCTGGTTGACCCTAAATCTTGACACCCAGGCTGATGTCCTAACTCCACTTGGAAAGGTATCACCCACACTTGTGGCGAATTTCACTCCACATGGCCATCACCTGAAGACGCTGGAACAAGAAGATTCTGGCTCAGAGCAGAGCACTGGTTTCAAGGTTCCACCTTGAATCTCCCGTCAGCTCACTTGCAGATAGCAAGTTCTGCATCAAATCCTCAGCCCTGATGTCAACTGCAACCTGCCTCAGTAATTTATCTTGACAGGAACTCTTTAAGGAGCCCCGAGTTCTTGTTCACCAAGATCCACCTGCCTCTGCTACCCAAGCGCTGAGATGAAAGGCTCAGGCTACCATGCCCAGCTTATCCTAGTAACTGATAGAAACTACTAGTAAAGCTGTTTAACTGGTCTGGCCTTCAGCTTAGTCACTAAGAGTAACCAATGAGAAACTATGATGGTTCGACTGTGAACCCTTGCTTTAAAATGTACTCTCCAGTTCAGTAGACTTCATTGTAGTGCTATAGATATTGCAGTCATAATGTACGTCCTGAGATTAGGAATCACTACTAACCAGGTCTGGAATTTAAGAACTGTGATGGCTTCCTCTCTGTATTCCTATTGTTATTTAATAAAATACTTTTACTATTACTTTAAAGATAAATATTAAAGTGACAAGACAACCTGAGTTATTTTTAGGAGGTAGATAATGAGACATCAGGAAGGCATCAGTTCCTAGCATCATAGGAAAAATCTAAACAAGTTAAGAAGCTTATCAAAAATAACTCCAAATGTGTTATAGCACAAGGAAGCGAGGCATCTGACGTAGGCATCGCTGACCCAGACTTCAGACGGAACCCCTTATCCTGTGCTAACCTGAGTTTTGTAAAAGATCAAGCTGCAATTTGATATTTCTGAAGTTCTCTGTCTCTCTCTCAGAAATGCTCATTCACATTATGTAGTAAAAATATTCTGAATGGTAGTTTGCAGAAATGCCTAATCTACAACTTCCATGATCATCTGAGCTACTCAACATCTTGAATATGCTTTCTTCACAGATAACAGAGTCCAGTAAAAATGGGACAGCACAGGCTAACAGCACAGGTGCCCTGTGGATGTGCTAACATGTACAAGACACGGTAAATAAAACACAGTAACCCAAAGAACATGGGGGCATTTCAGTGTAAGGAAATGTCCAGATTTGCCACTCATCAGCCCCAGCAAGTGAGTCACAGATCCTCATCTTATTTTTAAAGGCCTGAGATTAGGGTGAGAATCTGTAGCAGATCAAGCCTCTGCTGCCTGAAAATAACTTCTCTACAGAAAACATAATTAGAACAACAAAAGAGCAACAGGAGTAGTTTTTAAATGACTAGCTTAACAAATCTACAAAAGAAAACATTTTAGATTGGCTTTATTTACTGTTTGACTACCACTTCAAGTAGTGGATGTAGTCAAATCTTGGGAATAAAAAAAAGCTAGAAAGAGATGAGAAAATGCATCATTATATGAAATGCAAAACACCATGAAGAATGAAAACAAACTTCATGAGAGTTGAAAGCTTTTTAGAAGGAAAACCAATTAAACAGGTGTGTGGGTTTCATGACCAACCCAACCCCCCCCCCCAAAAAAAAAAATAAAAATAGACTTCCTTAGATAGACTAATTGATGTTTCCAGGTATTTAGAAAACAATAACCCTACAAAACATAATGCTTGGACATTCTTTTCTTTTGGTTTATTTAATTTGAATACAAGTCCTGCCAACCAAACCAAAAAACACCTAGTGTGACCAAACACACAAAAAACCCCAGCACGATTAACAAGTGCAGCACCTGCCAAGGATGTGGAGAAAAGGGACAAGGGAACTATTAAATGTCAGTCTTAATCCTCTTCCGAACTTGAATCATCCTCTTGGTCAGAAAGTTCTGGCACAGGGAAGCGGAGAATGGCAGCTACTCCCGTCAGCTGGCCAAGCTGCTCCCCAGACACATGGAGACTAGAGAATATCCGAACCGTCCCTGCGTTCTCCTTCACGCTGTCCACCAGCCTGACGTACCGGCTGCGGGTGGCCACATCCTGATGCCTGAAGAGCTCGTCACTGATGAGCAAGGTGTCGATCGCCAAGGCTTCGTTGGCCCTCTCCACCTGCTTGAGTCCATAGAAAGCTCGGTCAGGTTCGTGCTGTAACATTTTATAGAAGTCATCCAAGGCCTTGACTTCCCCAGCAGCTTTCGTGTCTGAAAGGCGGCTAGCTACAGTAGGGTCACACAGGGCCTCTTTCAGCGAGTACTTGTGTCCAGAGGAGGCGTGTACCTGGAAGCACAATTACAAAAGACAAAGAATCTCTGAAAGTATCTGTTAATCAGCGCACAAGGACATAAGACAAAAGCAATGCATAAGGCCTTATCTAAGTAAGGCCTTCAGCAAAAGTTACTTTAGGGAGCGCTAGATACTACATGATTCTCTCTACTGTCTTATTTATATTCCCAGCTAAGCCTTCTGCTCCTCCCCGTTCTAAAACATCAGGAACCGTTCCTAGTAATCCCTCTGCCCACTCTTTACTCTCTCTGGGGAAGAGCTTTACCTGAAGGAATTTGGACCGGTTTTCCAGGAGCAGTTTGTTGTCAGTCTTCACGGCTTGCTGAAACATGTAGTTGCAGAACTGCTCTCGCACAAATCCTGGGCTGGCCACCAGAACGCACTTGACAACGTCAAAGTTTATGTGGCGCTGGATGGCCTGAACCACCTGTTCATAGAACCTCTCCAGGGCCCGGTCATGCTGGGAGCAGTTGCCTTTCCGTTTCCTGGGGATGTTCACCTCCACCTTGGCACGGGTGAGGGTCATGCTGGGCGTGACTAAGCAGACGTGAGCAAGGCCCTCCTGCATGACCACAGCCGCCACATCAGCACTCCAGGCTGGGTCACAAGCCTGCTCGATGCGCTCCAGAACCACACTGTCCCACTGTTTCTTGGCCAGGGTGAACTGGCGGTTGGGCTCCAGTTCGATGGTGTGGTAAGCCCCCATCTTGACATACTCATTCTCTTGGATGTTGGTCCCCTTCACCCGCAGCTGGCAGGCCTGGGAGTCAAAGTCGATGGCCTCCACGCAAAGGGTGAGTGTGGTGCGGACACGGTTGCTCCCCACGCTGCCCGTGGAGGACTCGGTCTGGACCTTGCGGATGGTGGAGGCGCGCAGGCTGTCGCCCACCTGCACGAGGTTGTAGGTGTGCCACATGTCCTCGGGCTCCTCGGGGACAAGGGTGACCTGGCCCGCATTGTCCTTCTCGATGTCTTTTCTCACGAGCTTCATAACCCTGGCAGGGGCGCGCTTCAGAACTGGAGGCGTTGAGAGGGGGCTCCCCGGGAGAAAGGGGGGGCAGGGAGAAGGGGGTGGATCTAGGCCGGGAAGGGGAGCAGGAACACTACCTCCGATTTCCTGCAGCCCTGGGCAGTGCTCTCCCCCACGCTTTTCTCAGTGTCGGCGCGCTGACCCACGCGGCGCGGCGGACCCCACGCCGAGCACAGAGGACCCGGTACTTCCAGACGCCGGGCCCGCGCAAGTGGCTGACGCAGCGATCGCGCATGCGCAGCCCGCTCCCCGGCGCAGGTCGGTCGGACCAAGCAGAGAGGCGGGGCCTCCTTTTGCGCGTACACGCAGGCGCAGTGAGAGGAGAGGCGCGCCCTGGATAAACGTCCAGGGAGGCGTAGAGCCGCTCCGGCCGCGGCTTTTACATTAAGGCTGAGTTTGCTTGGACTTGCTGAGTTTTCCCACACATCCCCGCGTGCGAGGAATGGCGGAATATGTGAGTGCGAACATATTCTCTAAATATACTTAAAACCGAGTTGGTCGTTTTGCACCCCCTTCCTTGGTGGGAAGCCAGCTTCAAAACTTATGTAAAAGTGAAAAAGCGCCCTCAAAAGCGCAGACTTGGCCCCCGGAAGTCCAGACTCCTCCTGGGCTTGCTCATTTCCATACCAGCACCCAGAGGTGCCACGCTTGTTGGCTTTGGGGATACCCAGAAGCAGTTTCTAAGAACTCGTCACGTTAGGCCCGTGTTCAGCCACACGCCCAGCTGTTTTCTGCGCCTAGTTACCCAGTGTGCACGATCCAGTTAACCCAGATGTTAAAGGACAGAGCCCGGGGGCAGCAGGAACTATGTGTGGAATGCACCCCTGCCGGACCTCTGTGTGGCTTGACCTGATGTCCTGGGAATCCCAAAATCCAAAGTTGGCAGCTGTCCTCGGCGCAGTAGTCTCTGAGGCTTTTAGTGTGGGAGCTGGGAGGCAATAGATTGGCGCTGGATCTTGCCTGCCAAGGACCGCCCAAAAGCTGAGGATATGGGAAGTAAAGAAAAACTGATCTACTAATTGCGACCGCCCCTAAAGAAGAGCCATAGAATCGGTTGTAAAGGAAAACAAAAACTAAAACCTTGCTTTTCCCCCTTTTTCTTTTCTTTTCTTTTTTTTTTTTTTTCTGCAGTGGCTATAGAAATATGGGGATGCCGTTTTTTTCCTTAAGACTGAAGGCAATGGGGAGCGGAGAAACCCTGAGCACCGAACACGTACTCTCACTGCGTTTTGTGTAAGGATCTCAAAGCAGAACTCTCTAGCCTTAATTGAAGAGAAGAGGTTAATGGGTCGATTAATCATGTTCACTGATGTCAGCTATCTTTCTCAGAGGTTTCAGGGTGGTGGCTGTGGAGCGGTTTCCAAGACCCCAGTATACGTTAGGACCTTTACTTGCTTTGTGTCATCTTTCCTCCCTCTCCCACTTTAATTCTTATTTTCCCCTTCCGAATCTACCTCTCAGACAGAGTCCCTAGCTCACTTTGCTTTCTTCCTCCAAAGCCTTTCACAAAACATGGCACAGGTCTCGCCAGGGGAAGAAAGTGGCTTCATAGGCTCTTAATGAATGAATGGGTTTTCACTGAAGTGCTATCACATTTGGAAAAATCCTCAAGCACTTTCCTACTCTTTCTTGCTAGGAAAATGTTACCCTCATTTGTAGAAGAATAAAAATGAAAATATGAAGACGTTAACAAATGTGTTCAAGATCATGTAACTGGCATTCAGTCTCAGGTCTGATGCTATCTCACACCACAAACAATATGTCTTATACACGTAATCATCTCTGCAAATGCAAGTTGTGTGCTGTTATCTCCTGCTGCTTCCTTTAACTGACAGCTTTGCCAGTTCACTATCCACAGTTTGGGAATCAACCGAGAAGGTTTGAAATGCATTGACCAACCCCTTGCATTTGTTACATCTTCAAATCCTCACTTTTTTTTTTTTGGCACAGGTTTGTTTCTACCAAGCCTAGGTAATCATTATTAAAGAAAAATTACTTTAAAAAAACATGTAGTCACTTATTTCTTCAGTTGATATGTAGAAAACCCATAATGACTGTTTCATATTTCATGACCTTCTTAGGTTTCAAGGCAAACATCTTTGGACTGATTTTTGATGGCATCTAACTGGATTTATAGCAGAGGATGACCTTGAACTTCTGATTCTCCTGCTTTCACCCCTTGAATATTGAGATTAGAGGCATGTACCACTACACCCTAAGGCTTTTAAGAGGCTCAAACCTGGGCCTTTGAATACACTGCCTACTGAGATACCTCTCCTTCCCTAGACCAATTTTTAAAATATCAGTGTCCTCAGTGGTTGAATGTACTACAACATTTCTTAAAGAGTTAGTTTGGTCTGAAATACTTACGTCGGCTAGAAACTTTTTTATATTTTTGGTAACTTGAGCTTAGTATTAAGTGATCCAGTATTCATCCTCCCCATATTTTATGTTACTTTTAGTATATTTCTAAATCAATAATGACACTTTTATATTATTTGGGGATTGTAGTATCTAATTTAAACCCCAAGTCCTTCCATTCATTCCAAATTACTCTATATATTTAAATGTTTCACTCTCATTTCGGGACACTTTTTATTTCACCAGAATAAACTTTGTCCTGAACACATCCTAGGAATCTATACTGTACCTCAGCTCAATCCTGTTATCAGTACTTAACAGTTCACTTGGCCTCTTGTGCTATCTGGAAGGGCCAGCTGAAATGTCTCAGCCTAAAGCCACACCTTGTGTCAATTTGAATGCATTATCTGCCTTTTGAACTCCGGATGTTTTCTTCTTTATGTCCTGCCATGGTCCCTGCAAAGTCCTGAAGTATCCTATGTGTTTATAAGCTAGTCAGGGGTAAAGTGCGGCAGCCATATTAACTCTACAGATGCTTCTTAGCACTCTGACATTGTTAGCAACTGTAGTTCATGTCACTTAATAATGACCATTAAAACCTACCATCGTTTTGTTTGTATTCTTTTCCCAAATAATCAAAACCTTAAGGAAAAAAAAAAAAAAAAAGACCGTGATTTAGTTCTGCTGCATAAAATTATCATTTGTGTACTGGCTTTTGGAAATCCGAACCTTCACATAAATATCTCTAATTTTATCACACTCACATTAATCTTTCCAGAAGAAAAAATGCCAGTGCTGTTGCCTTCAAACAATTTGAGTCTGTTGTTTTTGGGACACTGTGAGTGGAGAATTGGGCCAGAAGTCAAGAGAACTGTGGCTCTCACCCTTCATTTGTTTTCACTGTGACTTTTGGCCCACTCAGTCTATTTAAAACTCAATTCCTTCTACTTGACAATCACAGAAATTGAAATCAATCACACAAATTACAGTTGTAAAAATTATGCTGTGTCAGCTTAAAGAAATCAACCCTCATGATATTTGTTTTCAGTTTTGCACAGTCATTTAAATCTGACTCTTTATAAAGATAATTTTAATGATTTGGGGTTCAGTGCTTGTGCATGAAGAAATAGTATAAATCAGACCCACGAGAGAGAGAACTGAGTGGGTCTAAAGGTTCCTACCACCAAACCTGAATTCAATCCCCAGATAGAGAGAAATGACTATAGCAAGTTGTCCTCCAACTAACATACCCATTCTATGGCACACTTGAGCCCCACACGTACACACACAAAATAAATAGGTGTAAAAAGGATTGAAAAAAACAAACAAACAGGAATTGGTAGACTTGAGTGGTCTTTTTGAGCTTGGAGTCTGTCAATTTCAGTCTCTACACACTTCTAGGTTGTTTCCCCCCCCCCCCCATATATTACAAATAGATTGTGCCCCTTCTTTCATTGACAGTCTTATGAAATTGTACCAGGAGTATACTAATTGATAGACCTGTAGAGTTCTGTAAACAAGGCTCTCTGGTAAGTCTCTTAAGAATAGCTGGCTTGATTCTAGAAATCAGAATCTCAAAATGTTAGGGTTGACCTGGAGCTGCAATATGTTCAAGTGTTGGTTGCTTGCTCCCCAGGATCCTTGTTGTCCTGTGGCCTATTCTCAAGTGTTCTGGATGACATTGTGTGAACCTTGTCTCCCAAATTATCCCTGACTGGATAATAAAAGTTGCTGACAGCCTGTAGTTTGGCAAAGAGAAAAGTGGAAGGTGAGACTTCCTAGGAGAGAGGAAGGAACTCTAGGAAGAAGAAGAGGAAAACCCTTTCACCAGAAGGCATGAGAGTAGTCAGACATGACTCTGGGCCTGGAAGCTATAACTAGCCACGTGGCTGGATAGGGCTGGTTAAATTAGGTGAACTAGTTGAGAGTGCCCAATTAAGGTCTAAGCTTTGAACTATTGAAGGGTTCTAGTGTTTTTATTTATATGGACTTAGGGCTACCCTGGGTCTTAGGCCTTTTCATCTGGAGACATAAGCCACTAGTCTTCTCCACCATAAAACTAAGTGCAGGAATTAATTTGAACAGGATCATATTGGAAATAACTGGGTTGTGAGAAAGCAGAAACCTGAAGGAAAGCAGGTTATGTACAGTTACTTACTGTAGTGTATTTCCTAGCTGTGCAAGAGAATGAAATGTTCATGTACCTTATTGTTTACTGAATTACAATAGTTTTTATTAAAATAATATTCTAGGAATGGTTTCATGATAGCAACAAGGATTATTGGCTCTTGAAATATGAACATCATATTTGACTGTTTTGTGCTTAGCACCCCATCTTCCGCTCGTTGTTTGTTTAGACTTAGGGGGGCTTTGTTCATGGTTTTGTTTCCCTCTCTGGCAAGACTTTACTGTGAACACAATCTGAGTTTGTCATCTTTTCTTAAAGCCTCTCTGGGAATATATCTCAACATTCTTTCTCTGTGTGTCTGTTGTGTCTTTCAGACCACAAGCCCTTGAAGGGCTCAGACTACCTTCTTTATTTCCCAACACAAATGATGTACACTCATGTGGCACATATGAAAGAGTGAGTGGCTATTCTCTGATTTATCGTTTTTAGCCTGACTATAACTGAGATCTTAAGCACAAGAAACTGCTTTGCATTTTTTACTATTGCTAAAAACATACAAGATTACACTTAAAGTAAACATCAATAAACCTATTCCAGTTTTAAAGATATCAGGACTTAGAGAGAGAAGTTGTGATTTTAAACCCAT